CCCCGGTCACAGCGCGCCTCAGGCTGCCCCCGGTCACAGCGCCTCAGCCTGCCCCCGGTCACAGCGCGCCTCAGGCTGCCCCCGGTCACAGCGCGCCTCAGGCTGCCCCTGTCACAGCGCCTCAGGCTGCCCCCAGTCACAGCGCGCCTCAGGCTGCCCCTGTCACAGCGCCTCAGGCTGCCCCCGGTCACAGCGCCTCAGGCTGGCCTGCAGTCCCAGTGTGTTTCCCGGCGTGTTTCCAGGCGGGGCTGGAGCCCTGAGTCCTGGTGGGGCTGAAGTTCCAAGTCCCAGTGCGCCTCCCGTGGCGCTGCAGCCCCGTGGGAAGTGCGCCTGGACTTGGGGCTTCAGCTGCCAGGAATCCTAGCTGCAGCCCTGTGGGAAGCACCTCTGGACTGACGCACCCTTGCAGGGCTGAAGCCCTGAGCCCCCGTGAGCCCTGCGGTCTGCTGGAAAGGCTCTCACAGTCTGGATTTGGACCGTGGGCTACCTATTGACTACCCCCATGCAGGCAGCTGGAGCAGTCTCTGCAAAAGTCACACACAGCATTCATGCAAAACAGTAAGACTCGCATAGACTCTCATACAACATAACAAGGGAAAATCCCCACTTCGTCACACCTTGTCTCACTAAACAATCATAATCCATGCAGCTGTGTACACTAAGATGGGGACAACCAAATCCTCATGCTTCAGGACATAAACAGATCACAGGGGTCAGGAAGGAATCATTTTCCCATAGGTCAGGGGTAGGCAACCTATGGCACGTGTGCCGAACGCGGTACGCAAGCTGATTTTCAGTGGCACTCACACTGCCCGGGTCCTGGCCAGCGGTCCGGGGGGCTCTGCATTTTAATTTCATTTTAAATGAAGCTTCTTAAACATTTTAAAAACCTTATTTACTTTACATACAACAATAGTTTAGTTCTATAGTCTAGACTTATAGAAAGAGACCTTTTAAAAACCTTAAAATGTATGACTGGCCCATGAAACCTTAAATCAGAGTGACTAAATGAGGACTCGGCCCAGCACTTCTGAAAGGTGGTCGACCCCCGCCATAGGTGCTACTGGGCACACCAGGCTGGCACTGTGTGTAGACGGGCCGTTGTCTCCCTTTGAAGGAAGAAGTGCAGATTTCTGTTTGCCCGTTGAGAGCGCTAGAATGCCCTTTGTGGCGGAGGGAGGCTAAAGGAGGTTTCAGCTTCCCTCGTGAGTTGGTAACTGGCTCAAATACTTTGTGCTCACAAGACAGAATTTAGGGAGGTGATTGCTGTTGGAGTCCCCCTGTACCTCACTTTTCTCCTGTGCACTATCTCTGGTGGGCGCGATGCCATGCTGGGCGTCCTGTCTAGGTGGGTGGGGTGCTGCCGGGAGGCTTCTCTGCTGGAGGTAGAATCTGTACGGACATTGGCGTGAAAACTGAATTCCCTGCAGCCGGGCCAGAAGTGTACATGTTGGGGGTGGGAACTGAGCGAGTCAAACTGACGAGGGTCTGGCAGCCCAGGCTGGGGCGGCTGGAGTGCTGCTTGTAGCGAGAGAGTGGTGACAAAGCAGCCAGGGAGGGTCTCGGTGCTGGTGGTTGCTGCTGCCCCAAGCTGCGACCCTTTTCACGGGGTGGGTGGGTGTTAAAGCAGATTCCGGCCAGATCGGATCCTAGGGCACCCTGCCTCGTTGTACTGCAAGGACATACTGAGAGGAGCCAGAAGAAAACCTTCCCGTTCCCCCGGGGGGGGATGGTCCTGAATCCCGCTGCCCTGGGAGACAAAGTCTAGCTGCTTCCTGCTTTGCCAGCCAGCCTGCCTGGTTGCTAGGGGATGGTTGCCAGGCTTTGTGTTGGGCAACAGTAGCCCAGGAGGATGGCTGGCAGCAGCAGTGAGCTGGCAGCAGCCCGGGCAGGGGCAGCGTGGCCTGGAGGAGGCGGGCACGGAGGGCATGGATTTGGAGGCAGACCGACCATACGTCCCTCAGGGGACTCTGGAGACAGACTTCCCAACCCCGTTGTACAGGTGAGAGGCTCACTGGCGTCTGCCTGCAGGTCTCTGGCTCTTCTAATACCCGGAATCCCTCGCCGGCTGGGGGCAGCGAGAAGCGGGGCTGGGAGCCAGGCCCTCTTGAGTCCCAATCCCAGCTCTGTCACTTTGCCTCGCTGGGCCTCAGTTTCCCTGGTGGTAGAGTGGGGATGATGGTCTGCTCCCAGAATGCCATGGGGGGGGGGGGCTGTGCCAGGCAGCCGAGGTGGCGGCCAAGAGGGAACAGAAATACCTCTTCAGCGGGGATGGGAAGCAACCCTGAAACCAACCCCTCATTGCCAGCTGTTCTCCTTCATTACCAGGTTCTCAAGGGACCCCCTGCCCCCAGTCCATGTAAATCTCAGGCTCCTGCATGTTGCATGTGGCTGGCAGGCAGCCTTCACCGCCTTTAGACAACAATTGGTTACTCGCTAGCATGTGCGTGTGCACTCTGACCCCTGGGTCAACCAAGGATACACGAGTGTGTGTTCTGACCCCTGGGTGAACCAAGGATACATGTATATGTGTATATGTGTGTGCGCGCTCTGACCCCTGGGTGAACCAAGGATACGTGTGTGTGTGTGTGTTCTGACCACTGGGTGAACCAAGGATACACACGTGTGTGTGTGTGTGTGTGTGTGTGTGTGTGTGTTCTGACCCCTGGGTGAAGCAAGGATGCATATGTGTGTGTGTGTGTATGTGTACATGTGTGTTCTGACCCCTGGCTGAGCCCATGTGGGTGTCCTAGGGATCCCCCATTCTCCACTGTGGGAACAGCTTTCTCTGAGCTCCTACCCCAGCTTGCTGAGGCCTGACCCCAGCAGCCTGGCTCTGAGCTCAGCCGCCATGCCCGAGGCGTGTGCTCCCTGGAGCAGGAGCCAGGTTGGCCCCACGTGTCTCCTCCCTGTCCCGCCGGCCGTGCAATCCCTCCTTCGGCGGGAGCTAGGGCAGTGACGGCTCCTTTCCCCTGCAGTGACGAGTACCTCACGCTGCACGGGCCCCGCAATGCCCCCGTCCTGAAGCAGGCCGTGCGCTGGAAGTGCACCCCCATGGGCCGAGACGCCATCCCCCAGACCTGGTACACGGGGCTGACCAACAGCGACAACCGAGACGTCTGGTACACGCTCACCAGCGGCCTGAGCCGCGAGGCCTACCACCGCTGGGCCCGCTCCCTTGCCGAGAGGGAGCGGAAAACCTTGCCCCCTGGTAAGGAGGTGAGGCTGGGAGTGGGGGCCGGGTGCGGAGATGGAGAGCATCGGTGTATGGAACTTGAAACCCGCCCTCCGTCTCGTGTCCTGCACCATGCCCGTCTACAGAGCGAGACTGTTCCCAGAGCCGGTCGGCACAGGGCGACCCAAGAGCCACTAAACCCTGCAGCTGCTATTGCCGCTGCGCCATGTCCACTTGCAGCCCGCGGGAGCCCCTTGCAAACCCCTGCGCTGCCTGCACAGGGCGACAAGCTGCTGCCAAAATGCCTCCCCTGGGGCAGGGCACCAGCCGCCTGTTTCCAAAGTCATCCTGTTGATACCAACAGCTGGCTCCTGGCATCGCCCGGACCGGTTCTGGGGAAGGTCTTGCTCTGCAGATGGGCCCGTGCTGAGCAAGGACAGGCGAGTTTTCCCACAATACATGGGACAGCTCAGTGCAGCGCCGAGAACCGTGGGGGTGACCCCAGTGTTCCTAGCACCTTGCCCGGGGGAATGCAGGGGGCGAATGTGCAGGGTGGCTGCTCACTTCTGGCACTGTGGCAGGAATCCTGGGTTCCATCTTAGCTCTGCCCCCAACTCGCTGTGGGACCGTCACCTAACCACTCTGCTTTCTGCTCTCTGACGCTCATTGGTGCTGCATTCCCTGAGGCATCGGGCTATTGATCTCAGCTTGCTGGCTGGCTACTCATCTGTATTGTCCTTAAGACACGTTTGTAGGATGCTGGGAAATAGAACATTGACTAATCGTCCTTTTCAAAAATCTCTGCTGAGGCTTGTGGCGGCCTCGTATTCTGTGTGTCCAGCCCCTAGCGCACAGAAACTGCAGTCACGGACCAGGACTCCAATGGCATGGCAACAAAACCTTGCAGCAGTGAGTCTCCGAGTCCAGGGCTTCAAACTCGGCCTCGTGCTCCGGGGCTGGAAACAGCTGTACAGACGCTCCCGTTTGCCTTCTGAGACCCACCCCTGCGCTGGGTCCCGGAGCTGGAGCGGGAACGTCTGCACAGCTGTTTCCAGCCGGGGAGCGCAAACCCTGGGGGAACAGGGCTGTAGTCCTGGCCTCTTACACTCACTGATGGGGGGCAGGGGTCTTGCAGTGCAGATGTGCCCCAAGGCACTTTGCTAATTAAAAAAACTACTAAGAATGTGACTAAGACGTGCTGAAAGAAACCTGACCGATTACCTTGCAGATTCTCCTCCTTTTGTTTGGCTAGATACGTGTTAAACACGTGATTGGAGCAGCCATTTAATAATAGCCCCAACCAATGCCCTAAAAGCTACTGGGGCCGACTGCCTGCTGCCCTGTGTCTGCACAACACCAGCTGCAGGGCAACGGCGCGTCAGCCCAGTTCTGCGCTCGCTCTACCCCGGCGTGAGTGCTGATGGGGTCAGACGGGGGAATCATGTCTGGCGTTTTATGGGCCCAGGGAGTCTCATCTCTCCAATGACTGCAGAGGTGATGTGGATCCAATGCAAATGCATGGCATGGGGCGGCTTTCCGTGCCAGGCTCCTTTAGGGAGGGAGCCGAGCGTGGCAATGTCAATCTGCCTAGATGATGAGTTTTTAGTCAGTGTGTGTTATCCTAATGCCTGGGACCCCACCGTGCTGGGTGCTGGGCAAGCACAGACCAAGGAGACACTCCCTGCCCTGAAAAGCTGACTGGCCAAGACGAGACAATGGCTGGATACAGGCCGCCATGTGAGCCCACGGAAACACGGCGCTGATCAGCACGACCAGTGGCCTAATCGCTGTCAGACTTTCTGTAAAGGAACTTCTTGAGCTGACCTTGATTCCCAGGCAGGGCTGATGGGACACCCTCTAACCGTGCGTTTACGCGGGAGCCTGGCTAGCCGGCCCTTGGGGGAGCCGGGGCAGGGATTGCACCAGAGCTGCTGTAGTCAAGGCCAGGGGAAACGCAGGATTTCCACAGAGGCAGCGTCAAGGCCGTGCCGTATGCAAGCGACGCTGCAGGCAGTGGTCGGCGGAGGGAGGTCCAGGGCCGAGGGTGCCCCAAGGTTATGGGAAGTGGGAGCAAGTCGAGGCTCTGATGTTCCGCATGAGTCACTCACCCATCGCTGCTTCTGCGCATCTGCCCCTTGTGGGAATGTGCCAGGGCCCTTGGGGGCATGTCGGGGACTCAGGGCCGTGCTGCACACTGGGCACTCGGGGTTGGTACGAGGCACCAACAGTCCAGCAGGGGGAGCGCCCGTTCTTTGCACAGCAGCTGGAAGGACCGGGACAGCTGTGCCGGGAGTTTTGGCCCCTGTTTTGGAGGTGGCGAAGGAGCTCTCCTCTGGACTGCAGGGGGAGGCCCCGGGGCCGGTCACCACGGATCAGGGCGTTAGGCAAGTCAGCCTGGACGGCACCACGCTGACTGGGTGTGATGCAAAATTGCATCAGCTGGGCCTGAGTTTCTGCAATGCAGGGGCTGAGAACTCCCTCTGCTCCCTGCTGCTTCGCCCACGCCCCCCACCAGCCCATCTTTCCAGAGCCCCGTTCCTCCCTCTTCGGGGAACGCCGGCTCAGGGCCTGGCTGCTGCTTTGCCCACGCCCCGCACAGAGCCCCGTTCCTCCCTCTTCGGGGAACGCCGGCTCAGCTTTGAAATCTCTTGCGCTTCACGGGAGGTTGCGAGTCACAAAGTCGCTCGCTTGTGACCTCCTGGGAAAATCTCCGTTGGGGCTGAAATTGTCTGTGCCAGGCCCTGATCCCCAGTGACGCTTTGGGGAAATCAGTTTTCAAGTACCTGACTAGCTGAGGCGGTGGGGGGAGGGGGCAGGGAAATGTATTTTCTAGGCATTTAAACCCAGTATTTTGCACATGGATTTGACTGAGGTGTAAAATGTCACACTTGGCTAACCAGCCAGTGGAACGAACCCCTTGCCACAAGACATGAACGCAGCCCGGCGTTTACACGGTTACAAGAACAGGCTCAGAGCTGTGGTTATTAAGACAGGCCAGAGTTGTGTTAAGCAGGATGGTAAATAGTTATAAGGCAGGTGAAGCGGCAGGTTTCAAGGCATTAGCCCCTGGCTAGCGGGCTGAGCTCAGCAGGAGTGTTCCCTGCTATGAAGATTACTCCCACACCGTCTGTCACGGGTGCTGGAGCACGCCTGGAGCACGCCTGGCATCTCCTCGATCCGCGCCTGGCTGGGCTCCCTCCCCAGTGACTCTGCTGTGCTTGTTTTGCTCCAACAGCCTATGCCCAGCACCTGCGGGAGGGATCGTGGTTTGACCCAGTGGTCCCTGCCCAGTACTTGGAGCCCAGCACCAGGTGGGGGGCCTTCCTGTGGAAAGACAAACCCGTCCTAGGGAAGGAGTATGGTAAGAGTTTGTGGCTTTGATCTCGAGGGCTGGGGGAGTGAGTAGGCAGAGCAGGTCACTGACTCTGACCCCGGAGGGACCTTTTGCTGCTTCTGAGTCTCCTCCCTCTCCCCCCCTCGCCATGTCCCCCCACACACACACGCACACAGGGGGCCCAGAGGCAGTTTGCTGGGGGACTCCTGGTGTGAGACCTTGGGCAAATCGGGGCAGGGCTAGTGATCCGGCCCCTCCTTTGCCGGGTGCCCTGGGGGGCTGGGGGCGAGTCTCATGCCATTAGCCTGACAGCATGTTTGTAAAGGGGGAGGTGGGTTCGGGTGCAGCCTGGCCTCCCTGGCCTGTCCCCCCAGCCTCTCACACGTGGGGCGTGTCCCTTCTCCTGTCCTCCAGCCGCGAAGCAGGGACAAGGCCCGCAGCATCCCGAGTGCCCTGGGGAAGGCGTGTGAAGGGGCCAGCAGTGTTAAACCAGGGGCGAGGTCTGGCCGGGCAGGCCCCTGGGTCCCCTGGCTGCTCTCAACGTGGTTCTCAAGAGTCTCTCCCCTGCCCCTCACTCACCTTCTCTCTCCTCCCCTCCAGTTGTCAACCGTAACCGCGCCAGCAGTGAGCTGAAGGGCCACGCTGGCTACGTCCCCTGCCTGGCCGCCCACACGCCCGCCTTCACCACCAGGGACTTCCGCACCTGGACGCTCTTCAGCCACCAGCCATCCACCAACCAGTAAACGCTGCTGTGCCGCAGGCTGCCTCCGTCGGGCTGGGGGGAGCGAGCGGGGTTGGGGCTGAGTCGCCCCCAGTGGCCTGAGTTGCTGGGCTGCCAGGGGCTCCCGGGTGTCCTGCTGCAAGGAGCCTGGCTCTGGGCCCGTGGCTGGCTGGAGTTGTGGCCAGTGGCCCTGGGTACCCACGGCAGGCCTGTGTAGGCTGAGCAGACCCTTCCCACCCATGCGCCTGCCTCAGCTGCTGTGCCACCCCCAGCGGGCTCCCCTCCGGGGAACACACAGCCTTGCCCGGCTGCCTTCCTAGCTCTGCCCAACCCCTGCCCCTTGGTCGAGCCTTGGGGACGGAATGGGCAGCAGCCAGAGGAGTTAACAGCCCCCCAGCCGTTCATTTCTGCCCTGGGAAGCACTGGCACTGCACATGGGCAGGGCCAGAGGGCTCCTGGCAGGCTGTGCACCCAGCAGCCCCTCGGCTCCATGCCCCTTAGCTCGCTCCTTGGTGTGATGCTCCCTGCCCAGACTCACGTCTCTCCTGCGCTGGCCCGGCGTGGAGCTGCCTGGCTGTAGGGTCCTGGGCTGGGCCCAGGTGCCCCTTGACATGCACTTACTGGGGGTCCTCTAGGGCTCACCCACCGCCCCCAGTCCTCCCTTCCCCTGGCAGCAGAACCTGCTCTGGGCTCCTCCCCACACTGGCCTGGGGCCTTGTAGGGGACACAGTTGATGCTGGGGGCAGACGTTCAGGCCCCCCAGGGTTCACTGCTCTGTTCTGCCTCGGTGGCACCACTGCTGCCCTGAGCTGGCCGTTCCTGGCAGGGCCCACCCAGCATCTCGCCACTGCTTTGTTCCCGCTGCAGGCAGCCCCAGAGGCTGGCAGCCGTTCTGCGCCAGCAGCTTCTTGAGACCATCTCCCAGGCCCTAGGACTGTCCTGCCTGGGCAGCTGGGCTTACCTGGCCCTATCCCCACCCCCCATCTCTCCAGGACCCACTCGCTCACCAGCGCCCCAGAGACTCATAGAATCTCAGGGTTGGAAGGGACCTCAGGAGGTCATCTAGTCCAACCCCCTGCTCAAAGCAGGACCAATCTCCAGACAGATTTTTGCCCCAGATCCCTAAGTGGCCTCCTCAAGGACTGAGCTCACAACCCTAGGTTTAGTAGGCCAATGCTCAAACCCCTGAGCTATCCCTCTGCCCAGTGCCAAGCTCCCCAGTACCTGGCTCTGATGGGTCCAGGCTGGAGGGTCCTCCTGCAGGGCAGGGGGATAGTACGGACTCAAGTGGCCCCCTCCACCCCCACCCAGTGGGATCCCTCTGTCCCGGGCTCCCAGCCCGCCCTGCAGGACTAGAGCTTTGCCGCAGACACACAGGCTGGAGCTGGAGTGTGGGGCTGGCTTGTCTTTATTAATAACAGAACCCAGCCCTTTACCCCAGACCCTCCCCTGGCACCACCTGAGCACTGGCCTGCAGCACCAGGCACTGGAGGAAGGGGCTGTGCCAAGCTGAATGGAGAGCAGGGGAGGGGCCGGCTAGTCCGGCCCATGGGCACAGGGTGCGAGGCCGAGCTGGATTCTCACCCCAGCCTGGGGCGGTTGGCGCCAGCGGGTTGGTTCGGGCCCTTGTTCTGCTCTAGGCACCAGCTGGGCACCGGGACGCCGGGCTTGGTTCCTGAACGAATGGGGCGGGGGCCGTACCCACTGGTTCAGTGCTATGACACGGACCCCCAGCCCCCTGCCTGTAACTGACCAGAGCCCGCGGCCCAAGCTTTGCCACGGTCCTCCCAACAGCTGCAGGGGACCCATAACCCCCTAGGGGACCTAGCAGCCCCATCTCCCGCAGGCGGGACAGAGGTGAATTCCAGGCCTGGCTGGGGCCCCTGGAGGCTGACAGCAGCTGCCTCCCACAGCAGCCCGTGCCCGGAGGGAGCCCCGTCTCCCCAGGAGGGGCCCTGAGCACGCGGGAGCCCAGGGTGTCTCAGACAGCAGCAGGGGGTGACGCTCGGTGCTGGACAGGAGGTCAGCAGGAGGCTTGTGCCTTGCAGCGCCATTGCATTGCACAGCTGCTGTGAGAGCCAGGCAGCGTCGCTCACTCGCGCAGGGCTCCCCTCCCCGCCCGGCTGGATATTCTCACGCTCTCCAGGGGCCAAGGGCCCCTGGCGGAAGCCGAAAACGCCCATTTCCTTTTTGGCACAAGGACCGAGTCCATCGAGTTTTGCTGCCTCAGCTGAAGGTTGCGTGAGAGTTGCTTGCTCAGGGCAGTCAGGCCCAGTGTCCGTTACAGCTGAGGTTGCAAACCCTGCGGCTGGGCAGGGATCAGCTGCAGCAGGGCTTGTGCAGGTTACCAAGGGGAAGCTGGTGCGCTATTGAACCCAGCACAGGGGCGCTTTAAGGCACACGGTTTAAGTGCCCGACTGCTCAGAAGGAGACGTTCAACTTGTCCTCTGCATCAGCACCAGCACTGCTGTGTCTGCATTTCATCCGCGAGGAGTTGTTCCTGGTCCAGGCCTTGTCGGTTCATTTCCCTCCCCTGGTCTCCTTAAAAATCAGCCCCAGCTCTGCTGAGGGCAAGACCCAGCTCAGGATGAGGGGGAAAGCCGTGGGATTCCAGCCCATTTGGCAGGGGTGGCATCTGCCAGCCGCAAGCCTGGTCCTTCGGGCACGAGGCTCCGGTGCTGAGTGCAGCCTGACTCCTCCCTGGTTTCAGGTCGTCTTGTATCTTTACATAAACAAAAGAAAACTGGTTAAGCAAATGAGTGGGGCAAATTACTGCAGCTGCGGGGGGCAGCAACAGCGTGAGAAGACAGGCTGGCTCAGGGATCCAGGGCTGGGCACCTGGCGTGGGTTCAGCCCCTCCCCTGTAAATGGAATCCCCCCTCAGTTCCTGGGGGGCCAAGATGTGAAGCCGCAGCTGACTCCCCCCTGCAGGGAATGGTAACGCCACCTTTCGTCCAGTTAACAAAGCCCCTGGCTGGTGTGTGCCGGGTCCTGGGGCTGCGGCGTGGGGAGTAACCCAAGGGCCGGCTGCAGACAGCCTCCCGCTAGCCCCAAGCAGGTCGGGAATCGAGCCCGGAGTGGGGGCCGCGGCTCTCTAGGAGGGGACGGGGAGGCAGAAAGCCAATTGCTCTGCGGCTGGGGCCTCCTCTTCCCCCCACGCGCCCCATGTGAAATGAGCGTAACGGGAAAAGGCCGAGCGGCTTCGCAGCCATGGGCCCAGAGCCAGGGGTTACACTCACTGCCGCCTGTTAGAGGAATAACCTGCCCTGCACAGCCCTGGCAGGAGGGATCGCTGAGCAGGACCGTGGCTGCCTGCTGCCCCTGGGCCATGGGGCTGGGAGCCCGGACTCCTGGGTTCCATGCCTGGATGTGCACCCGGCGCCTGCCCTCCGTAGGGCCAACAGCTGCAGGCTCCAGTGAGGCCTGCCCGCTTCGTACCCGGCGCCCAGGGGCGGTCGGAGACCGGGGGCAGCTCCCTGCCCGTTTGCCTTTGCTGAGCCTCTGCCAAGGGCAGCGGTTAGCACCCAGGGAAATCCTGCCTGCTGGCAAGGAGCCAGCGCCTCTGGGCCTCAGTTTCCTCATTCCCCCCTCCCTCGTGGTGCCTGGGCGGGGCTCGGGGCTGCGGGTGCTGGGGAGGAAGGGTGACCGACACGCAGGGTGACCACTGTTCCCTGCCAGGGCCAGGGACTGGGCTGGAGGCACCCGGAGGGGGACGTCTGGCAGGCTCTGGAGGTTTATCCTGAGGCAGCTCCAGCCCCTGCGCTCCCCTGTCAGCCGTCCCCTTTTCCTTGCTGGCTGCAGGGCGGCCCCTTTTCCTTGCTAGCTGCAGGGCGGCCCCTTTTCCTTGCTGGCAGGTGCTGGCCTGGGCGGGGAGGCCACGCTCGGAGCTGGGTCGGCACAGGGCCGCTGCAGCTGGGAGCAGGAGCCAGGCACGGGCAGGAGAGGCAGAGACGGGTTGGGCCGGGGGGAGGAATCACCCCCTGCTCCCCTGGGTCTCCCCAGCTCACCCCACTCCAGCCAGGGGCTCCTGTCCCTGGCAGCTGCTCCCCTCCCTGCCCCCGCTCCCCTGGGCCCGAAGATCCAAGTCCCCAGGTGAGTGTGGGGCACATTCAGCAGGGAACCGCAGCGGTGAGAGGAGCAGAATGTGGGGCAGCCGGTAACGTGGGTTGAGGAGGGGACGGGGAGAGCAGTGGGGCTCCAGGCTGGGGGCAGGGCAGGGAGAAGTCACATGGGGAGGTCACGTGCCCCCCTTTAGCTGGTGCCCCCTTTGTGTCCCGCTTACTTGGCTCGTCGGGGAATTGAGATTTGGCTGACGGACGTTCCCAGCCCGTGGCCCGATGTCAAACAGAGAAAATAAACTGCAGCCACAGCCACAGCGGGGCAGTTCCTCGCCTGCCCCCGATTCCCGGCCCGTCGGCACGCCACTCCCCGGCAGACACCCAGCCCTGCTGGGGGCTTTCACCGAAGAGCCCTTCGGCCCCTCGGATCTGGGCATTGCCTTCTCCGGCCCCCAGCAAAGACCCTGCAAACGGAGCGGTGCCGCCCCGGAGGGCCAAGCCCCCAAGCTGGGGTCCAGCTGCCGTGGCTCTCGGTGGGAGTCATTGAGTTAAGGGCCCTGTATTTTCCATCGGGGGGGCTGGGGGTCCCCCAATATGCCCGGCCAGCAAGGGCTGGCTGGCTGCTCGATCTCCCCTTCTGCCAGGCCCAGCACAGACACACGAGACAGCAGCCCGAGGAGGAGACGTGACCTGCCCAAGGGACCCAGGGTTTGGGGTCCCGCTGCTGCCCTGACCCCTGGACCATGGCTGGGAGTGGGGGCTGGGGCCCTTCCCGCTCGCTGGTTCCCTGCTCCCCCCGCGGGGCCCTGCTACTCACTGCTGTAGGTCGAGCTCCGGCCAGGCCCCCATTGCCATCAGCTGCTGCTCCAGTGCCACGATCCGCAGGCCAATGTACCCAGAGGACAGCAGCAACACCACCACCCTGGGGGGAGGGCAGTGTGAGCAGAGAGAGCCGGGCCGGCCTGGCACGCCGGGCAGGGGCATTCACCCAGGCGGAGCCGGGCTGACGAATAGCTGCTTAGTGCCCGGAGCCCAGGGCAGGGTGCCCACGGGAGCTGGGCTTAGCCGGAGCAGAACCACAAACTCCAAGCTCTCATGTGACGGTGGTTAGCCCCACAGCGCTGGGAGCCGCCGAGCTCCCTCTGGGAGTGGCACAGCCTGGCGGGGAGCTAGGGAACGCAGCAGCCTGCTGCCCCCAGATGCCACCCAGATGCGAGAGGGACTGTCTATCCCGGTGCAAGGCACAGCAGGGGAGGGAGCCACGGGCAGGAGCCAGCGCAGGGGAAGAGCCGGCAGCCAGGACGCCAGCCGGCTGGGCTTCGGCACACAGAACCAGAGACCAGCACGTTCTGCCCCTGTGCCAGGAGCACCAGGCTGAGTCCGCAGGCACTGGAGCTAAGGGGAGTGGCACTGGCACACGGTGCCCTGCTATTAGCGCTGCCCGGTGCCACACTCGAATAGCCCCGTTGGTGCCCACTGGCCCGACTGCCCCGGGACTCACAGCAGCAGGTAGATGAGGATGACGACGTTGAGGGTGCTCAGTTGCGCCCACCAGCCCCTGGGCTTCTTCTTCATCTGCCTGCCTGGCCACGTGCCCCCTGCCGGGAAAAGGACATCACTGATGGGGGGAAGGCAGGGCTGTGGCCCTTAGCTACCCTGGAAAGGATCGGGGGGACCTGCCACTGCCCAGCCCCCCAGGACTGCACAGTCCCCCCTAAACTCCCACTGCCCTGCCCCCTGAGCCCCAACTGCCCCCCCAGGGCCCCAATTGTCCTGCCCCCCAGAGTCCCCAGTGCCCCACTCCCTCCAGAACCCCCACTGCCCTGCCCCCCAGAGCCCCCACTGCCCCACTCCCACCAGAACCCCCATTGCCCAGCCCTCCCCAGAGCACCCACTGCCCAGCCCCCCTCATGAGCCTGCATAGCAGCCACCCTCTGCAGCCCCGAGGACGAAGGACTCTCCCTGCGGGGGCTGCCGAGCCCAGAGGCCGTACATCACCCCAGTCCCATAGGGATGCCACGGCGAGACCCCTCCAGGGACTGGCTCCCCTGCCTGGTGCCTGGGGTGTGTACCAGGTGGCAGCCAAGGTCCATGCCAAGCGCCTGCCCCCGGTGTCAGTCTGAGGTGACGGCATTGAGGCCAGCCAGGCTCCCACAGCCTGCTCAGACTGGCCCTGACCCTGCAGCAGGGCTGGCAAGGGGGTGATGTGCCAACGCCTGGCAGCAAACACCACAACAGCAGCTCTTTGCCCCATGGGCAGACGTGTAGCTGGGTGGCACATCTGGGGCTCAGCAGCAGGGGATGCCAGCTACCTCCCTGCCCAGCTGCCCAGAGCTGTCACAATGCCCAGAGAGGCGGTAGGCGGGTGCCCAGTGTCCTGTACCCGTGCCCACAGGAGAGCAGGCGCGGGGGGTCCTGCCTGGGCATCCCCACCCTGAGCCAAGCCAGCGAGCCTGGGCCTGAGGGATCCACTCACCTGTGCTCGGCGCTGCCGTCTCCTTGCCCTCATCCTCTCTGCTCTGCTTCGGGCCCAGCCCATCTGCACACACAACGGGATACCCAGTCACTGGCGCTGCCTGTGCCCAGCCAGGTGCCAGGCTCCCATGTGCTGCCCCCAGGGAGGTTGGGGGGGCATGGCTTGTGGGCTGGGCATGGCGTGTTCTGCCTGCCTTTGGGGGTCCTGCTGTCCCAGGCAGGGCAGGAGATCCAGCCGTCACCAGCTCCACCCCGCCATGGCGCTGGAAGGGGCTGAGTGGAGGCTGGTCAAACTCATTCCACCTAATACAAGCGACTGTCGGTGGAGCCAGGTTCCTGGCCGGACGCTGCGACGCTCAGACACAGGCCGAGGGCACAGGATGCTGCCCGGAACGGAAGAGAAGGGAGGCCCCTAGGGCGCTCCTCGCTGCACTTGCACGCTCATTTGCACTTGGGCTGCTGAGTGTGCGAGGGCTGGGGGAGCCAGGCTCTGGGCAGGGGGCGCGGCTGAGAGCCCTGGCTCACCTTGCTGGTCCAGGAGGCCGTCAGACTCAGCGGGGTTCAGCTCCAGGTCCGACTGGCTTGAGGTCTGGAAGGGGAAAAGCTGCAGGTCACAAAAGGGGCCCCGTGCTCCCTCCCCACCGCTCGCTGGTCTCTGCCTCCTCCTGCCATCTCGCCCTGCTCTCCCTCCCCCTCCCGCGGCGCAGCACCGCTCAGGGCCGGCTGCTCAGAGCAGCTCGACACCCAAGTCCTAATTCTGGCCCCTCGGAGATGCACAAAACTCCTGCCTCTCCCTGCAGGTGCCTAACCTACCTCAGCGCCTCAACTTTCAGGACAAAATTCCCTCGGCACCTAAATTCCTGGGCCGGGGCACCGCTGCCTCCCTGTGGGTCCCTGGATACCCCCCTCCTGCCTGCACCCCGAAGCGAGTCCCAAACACGGGGGGACGGGCGCTTGGCGGGGCCCAGCCGATGGCATGTTCGGGGAGCCACTGACTGGACCAGGCCCCACTCAGAGCTGCTGCCACCCACCTTAACCGTTAGCCCGGGGCTCAGAGCACCCTGCTGGGATGCGGGGGAGCCCAGGTTCAGCTGGCCGAGGGGCAGACACAGGATGTGAGGAGGGGTCTCCCACCTCTCGGCAGGGCGCTCGACCCACTGAGCTACGGGACAGGCTGACGTGGGTCCTGGGCTCCACCAGCTGCTCCCTCCCAGCCCAGGGCGGCTTCTGAGCCACTCTCTCCACTCCAGGTGCCCGTGTCTGAGCCGGGCCCTGCCGCACCCTCAGGCAGGGGGCGCTAGTCCGATAACAAGCATGAGGCCAGCTCAAAGCTCCCTCGTGCCATCCGATCGGGCTGGGATGGCCAAGGGCTTTGTGGCGAAGGGCAGGGGTGCCAAAGCCCTGGGTTACACTGGGCAGGGGACTTGAAAACAATGCCCTGCGCAGCGTGCTGGCCAGGGGGCCTGGCTCCCCAAGCGCTTTGCAAAGACACGGGCAGTGCCAACGGGTTTAAGTGGCAAAGGAGGGAGAGGCCACCGAGGAGCAGGGGGCCAGCTTGGGGGTCTGCCTCGGCCTGGGGCTTCGGTTCGGAGCCCCTCCCGCTCCTGGGAGTTTGGAATGGGGGTTGGGCTGTGCCCTGGGCTCACAGGCTGGGCTGCTCCAGCTGCCCCACAGGGTCTCTCTGACTGGGGCAGCTCAGCCGAGAGGGGCAGAAGGGGGCACGGAGAAGCCCCAGACAGCCAGGATTGCTGGCCGGCAAGCCACCTCCACCCAGACCGGACAACACCAGTTCTGGGAAAGCCCAAGCCCCCAGAGCCGGGCAGCAGCCGGGCAACCAAGGGCACGTCCAAGCCGCCAGGGTGCCCAGGCAGGTGTGTTCCTGCACACACGGGGCTTAGAGAGTCACCCCCCTGCCCTGTGACCTGGCAGCCGGGCGCCGAGTGGGCACTGAGCCGCCTGGCAGTACAGGCCCAGCCTCGGAACGCACAGAGCGCCGGGCGCTGTCGGGGCCTGGGAGCAGGGCCGGCTCTCCCTTTTTTGCTTCCCCAAGCGACGAAGCAAAGGGGAAAAAATGAAAAAGCTGCCGCCGAACTGCCGCCGAAGAAGGGGAAGAAAAAAAGAGTCGGCGTGCCGCCCCAAGAGCAGACGGACTGCCGCCCCTTCAGATTTGCCGCCCCAGGCACCTGCTTCCTTAGCTGGTGCCTAGAGCTGGCCCTGCCAGGGAGCAGCTGGCCCAGCTCTCAGGAATCTCCATGGTTTGCTAACAGTGGCACCAGCCCCTCTGCCCTGCTGCCCACAGCCTGTGCCGCCAGCTAGGGGGTCGGGGAGCTTACCAGAGCCTTCTCGCAGAGCTCGGAGCTGGTGTTGGCGGGCGAGGCCGGGGGGCTGCTGCTCGTGCTCCCGTCCTGAACAACAAGAATGAGGACAGTGAGCCCAGGGCGGGTGGCAGAGCCCTCGAGTCGCTGGCCAGCCCAGCCCTGTGGTGCGCAGAGCACAGGAGACGGGGCTTTCCCTGACCTGGGGGACGGCTCCCAGGATGGGTCACCTCTGGGACCTTCTTCCTCACTGAGTACGTTAGCTTGACCCACTCCCTCTGGTCAGGAACGAGGGGCATCGGCCCAGTGCCTGTGTAGGGGGGGCTAGGGCTGGCATGGCCGTGGGGACTGAGGGGCATCGGCCCAGTGCCTGTGTAGGGGAGCACAGGGCTGGCATGGCCGAGGGAACTGAGGGGCATCGGCCCAGTGCCAGTGTAAGGGGTGGTCAGGGCTGTCATGGCCCTGGGGACTCAGGGGCATCGGCCCAGTGCCTGTGTAGGGGGGCCACGGCTGGCATGGCTGTGG